AGGTAGAAAACATTTCAGATATTTAGGAACAAGAACACAGAACATATGTACCCAATATTTTTCTCTGCTTTGAACTTACTACTTTCCAACGGACAGCAATTAAAAATGGGGCTATGGGAATTGTTCCAGCTTCACAGGTGTTCTGTAGTGTCTATTAGAGTATTTTTTAAAAGTGCTTAGATTGCTTACAAGTTAATCTGGAGGATCACACTGGAAACAATGTGTTACACACAAGTGAGAGGTTAGGCATGGTGCCTTTGAAGCCAATGTCTTGCACAATAGTTGGTTAATTTTCTGTCCACTGGAGTGAGCAATGGGATTCCCATTTAAAATGCTGCTTCTGGCTGGGCTGTAGGAATCTGACTGTGTGAGACTGGCCCTTGAATTAGTCAAGTAGGTTTCATCCCCATTGTGCCTGGGCATTGTGCTACACACCAAGGGAAGGAAGGAGGAAAGTGCCCCCTCCTCTGCTTCTGACATTGGACAGGGATTTATATGCTCGCTTCCCCAGGGCTCAGGCCTCAAGATGGCCCCTGACACCCTGGCTTTCCTGGGCCTGTAGCCTGATGATGCAGGTGATGGGCCTTCTGAGGCCAAGTGCATGCGTTCTCAGGCCCAAGTCATGTACTTTGTTTCATTTCTGTGGAGAACTTTGACAAATACAATACTCTAGAGAAGACAAAGGCAGTGCTGGCTGGGGGGAATAAGGGGAGGGAGGGAACCGAAGAAGGGAAAATTGGCTGCCTTCTTCAGAACACTCCTGTACGGTGTTTTAATTTAGTCTGTAGCATATGGCAGGTACATAAATGAGACTGTTAAAGCCTAAGAATATTCGCAGTTCACTCAGCTGTCTTTGAGATTGCTGCACAGACCTCCTTCCGGAAGGGGTATGTAGCTTATTAGCCCTTGTTTCTTGAGGGACAGTTGAGCAGCCTCTCATGGGATGTACAGCCTTGGTGGTCTTGAAGGGTTGCTGATGCTTAGGTCAGTGTGCATCCCTGGTTTGCGAAAGACAGGCTAGTGTACTTTCCCAGAGATGGCTCTGACATCACCTAGCTGCCACACATTTCTCAGCCAGTTTGAAAAAAATGTTGTGATAAGGTATCTAAATGAGTCTCTGAAAAGTGACATGGAGGACTCATTTCTTGGGCAAGGCACCCACTTGGGAATCCATGTCAGAGCTTTTAGCCAGGGAAGGGGATGGGAATGCTGAGGTGAGCTGTGGTGTCTGGTTCCTCTTACTTTCCCCCATTTTCCCTTCTTGAGGCTACCCTGTAGTCAGTCCTTGTCAGTGTATTTCCACACATTTCCAGGAAGTTCTAGAAGGATCTAACCTCTACCTTTAGCTCCAGCACAGAGGCTCATCAAGTCACAGATGAGGAAAGTCAAGCAGGTGCCTTGGAGCTCAGGGTGGGGTCACATGGCAGAGAAAAGAACAGGAGCTTCCCAGGCTAAGCATCATCAAGAGGTCATTGGGAATAAGAGTTTGCAGACCACCTCGAGACCCTGTCAGACACTATTTACACAGGCTCTAGGGAGATGAAGGCTAAGTTGTCTGTGCCTTCTCCACAAGCCTGCCTTATGTTAGTGTTCTGCCTCTGTAAGCTGCTCTTCGCCCCAGGAAAAACATGGAGGCTGGGGAAAGATAGTCTGATGGGGAGATGGGGATGAGAATCCTAACACAATACTGACCACAAACAAGCAGTTCCTGAACGGGTGTCATGGACAAGAAAGGAGGGGGGCTTTTACTTCAGTAGATAAGGGGTGGGGTAGTGAATGGGGAACTATTGGAGATACTTGGAGATTTCTAGGGAAATATTTAAACTATCTGGACTGTTTGTTACCTTGTTATTTTCTGGACCTTAAAAATATATTTTAAAGGGATTGCTGTTGGCCCAGTATATAGTAAGGCTTTTTATTTCAGGATGAATTTTGCTTACTGTAACTACAACATCTGTAAATCACAATTTTACAGTTCTCCAATAGCTTGACAGCTGACCTGTCACATAAAACTTCTTACTCCATCACAGAGACAGTCCAATGTATTTTAAAATCTGTGTTCTAGCATATTCTGTGTCTTGGAAATGCATAATGCTAATTTACCTATTTTCATGTCTTTGGTCACTCATCTTTTACCTGTCCAGTTGTCACCAGATAACTTTCTTATGTATGCCTTACTTCTCTTAACATCATATTAGCCAGTCCTCTGGCTAGTGTCCCCTAGCTCATTATCACAAAAACAAGCCTTAGACTCTCTGGCTCCTTGCATGCTTACAGCTTCAAGGGACAAGACTCTGCCTCCTTGTATCTAGAATCAATAGGGCCAGCATGAAAAGACTCAACTGAAGATAACAGAAGCATCTCAGTTAATAAAAAGGATTCATTATTTTGCTGTCCAGGCAGACAGTTCAGGGGTTGTTTAACTCAGGTCACCTCAGTGATGTCCTCTGGGGTTCAGCTTTTTTCTCCCTTGGTTGTCTGGCTGATGTAGTTGGGCTTGTTCTCTTGTACTTGGCAGGTTGGCCGGAACACTTCCATGCACTACATTTGTTAGAACAGTAACCAAAGGTCCAAAAAGTATAAAATTGTGCTCTCTCCCTCCCCACACACTATTTTATCTTTTATAAGAACAGAGGAATATCTTCTACAAGCTTCTGTTGTGTGACTTTCTTGGGGACACATGAACAAATGTCTACTCCAGAAAGATTACCAAACTTAGTGAACCAATGAGTTTATTTTGGTTATGAACAAGATCATGGGGAAAGACAGCTGCATCATCCTAAATCCCATACCAACATGGATGCTGACTTACAAGGGCTGTATTCCTGGACCTTACCTCACAACTTGCAGAGAGCTCCCCTGAAGGGGGTCTCTTTCCAGCATTTTCACACTGCAACCCTGTCTGTCTTGCTAGTTTATCAGCTTCCTGAGTTTGGGACCTCATCCCTTTCTTTAGGAAGAAGGGAATAGTTATAACGCAGCTTCCAGCAGCCTCCCTTGTGTGGCATTTGGTGTTGGAAAATGTTTCAAAAGGAAAACACACACACACAAACACACACGCACACACACACACACACACACACACACACACACACACACACACTACTATATGGTCTTCCAGTGCAGTGCCAACCTTGATTTTCTAATGTTTTAACTTTTGTGCACTAATCCAGTAATTTCTATAGGTTAACCATTTATGGATTCCTTTTGGAACTTTTTGCTGTTGTTGCTCATTTATTTTTATTTTTCCTTTGGTCAGTTGATCTTGTCACCTAGTCCTCCTGGTAGTTTTGAGTGACTGAAGAATGTAGGTGAGTTATTAAGAGATGCTGGGTGATTATTATCTTCTCTACACCTGATAGCTACACCAGAGGCAGATCATGTTGCTCTAGTCAAGGACTGAGGTAGATTAAAGATATATTTAAATCTCCTGAAGGGGTCAACTTCTAATGTAACCTTCTCCACCTCTTTCCCTTTCCTCATCTCCCTTAGTTTGGTTTCTGTTGCTGTGACAAACACCCCAACAAAAGCAACTTAGGGGGAGGAAGGGTTTACTTCACCTTACAGTTCCAGATCACAGTCCATTATTGAAGTGAAGTCGGAGCAGCAGAGCTTAAGGGAATTGGGCAGCTACATCCATAATCAGGAAGAGAGAACAAAGAATTCATCGTGTCATTCTCCAACCACTCAATCCTTGTTATTCATTCCTGGGCCTAGCCTTTGAAATGGTACCACCCACAGTCTGGCTAGGTCTTCTGCCCCATTTAACCCAGTTAGGAAAATGCCTCACAGGCATGCCCACAGGCCAACCTAATCTAGACAGTTCTACTTTGATACTCCCTTCCCTGGTGATCCTAGACTTCTGCCAAGTTGACAATTTAAAGAAACCATACCTCCCCACCTTTCCCGTAGCCTTACCCTTCCTCTTCCCATTCCCTCCCTTCCTAGCCTTTCCCCTCCCATCCCTTCTACTTTCCTTTCTCTCCCTCTTCTTATTTATTTAATTTTACCTATTTTATTTGTTGAGATGAGATCTTACATGCTGTGTAGGCCACCCTCTAGCTCCTGTTTCAACTTCCAAGAGTGGCTAGACCCAGCGTTTAGTTTGCTTTTATTTCTGAGTGGAGCCTTTTAGGGTTTCTCATGTGCCTTGTCACCTAGAGCATGCACTGCACCCGTCCCATACACTAACATTTATTTGCATTCCCTACTAGAGTTGTCATTACCACTCATCTTAGTCATTGTTCTATTGCTGTAAAGATACACCATGACTAAGGCAACTCATAAAAGAAGGCATTTAACTGGGAGCTTGCTTATGGTTTAGAGGCTTAGTTCATTATCATCATGTTAGAAAGCATGGGACACAAAGGCATGATACTGGAGAAGGAACTGATAGCTGCATCCTGACCCACAAGCAGAGAGAAGGGGGAAACTGGACTTGGCATGGGCTTTTGATACCTCAAAGCTCACCCCCCCAGTAACACACTTCCTCCAACAAGGCCACACCTCCTAATCCTTCTAATCTTATCAAAGAGTTCCACTCCATGGTGATTAATCATTCAAGTATTTGAGCCTATGGGAGCCATTTTCATTGAAACCACCACAACACTCAAAGTCCATAGTTTACACAGGGCTCATTCTTGCTGTCCTATAGGAATTGGGATGAATGCATCAAACTGAAACAGTTTTGGTGCCCAAATCCTTACTCAACTTTTATCCCAACAACCATGAAGCAAAACCAACCAAAACCCTCACACACAGTCTGACCTTTTGAAACACTTTTAAAAGGTGCTTGCTCCTTCCCCTCTAAAATCTCCCATTTATGAAGTCTTCTACCTTGGAGAAAGGAGAACTTTCATGGCTTTGCATCCTTTAAGCAATGAAAGCTGGATCTGTGGAAGGACATGGTTACTCCCCATATACAACTACACCTTTGATTTCTTATTGGATTTTGTTTTCTATTTTACATGAAGTTTTATTTTTATTTTTCCTCTTTGTAGGAGGATACTCCATCGAGACTTGAAATCAAAGAATATATTTCTGAAAAATAATCAACTTAAAATCGGTAAGATCTTTCAAATGCCTGCTCTAAAGCTACAAACAAGTTTATCCTAGATGTAGCCACAGTGAGCTCAAGTGTGTAGTTCAAGCTAGCCAATGCTGAAGTAATCCAGCCCTGGATTCTTCAGCCTTTGCAGATATTCGCTCTTACCTGGATGAGACCAACAAACCCCAGTTATTTTATTTCTGCTTATCTGATATAAATTGAAGCATAAAGCACTTGCTACATGGCTGGTTGATTTGATAGGCATACTTTGTAATCCTCCTCTTTACCAGGCATTTTGTAAGCAGGTGACTTGTTTTTTTTTTCTGGTTTTATTAACTGATATAGGTTCCTTAAAAGTTTGTGATTTTTATGTGTATGGGCATTATGCCTATATGCATGTTTGTGCACCACATGCACGCAGTACCAACTGAGGCCAGAAGGGAGTGTTGGGTCCCCAGTGGCTACAGTTACAGCTTGGTTGTGAACTGTGGGTGGTGTGGATTGGACCTGAGTCCTCTGGAAGAGTAGCCAATGAGTGCTCTTATCTTCTGAGCCATGTCTCTATTACCCACTCACTTTAGTAAAATCAGTGAACAGTGGCCATCCATAATTTAAATGCTGCTATGATGACTTTACTAATATTTAATCCTCATTCAAATAGTTATTCAATAATCTAAGTATTATATACAGGTATGTGAGTAGTTAGAGAAGTCAGTGGATTCAAATTTTTATATGTATATTTGTGAATAGTTTAAATCTTTATAACTTCCCCTTTGAAAACAGAGACCAAAATTAATATCAAACTCTTCTCCCTGCAGGGGAATTTTCATGTCTTCACATTTAGTCCTTCTAGAATAATTTTGTTAGTTATCATACTTCAAGTGGTTTACTAGCCAGTTACTCTAGTTTTCTATAATTCAAGAAGTAAGGAGTCTGAGGTTATATAATTCACTTTCCTTGTTCAGTCCTCTTTCTCCTTTAAAGCACATATGTTTAAAGCTGCTGATCAACATTATAGAATTTAAAATGTCACTTTCTTTTTCCTTTAAGATGGCATGAGGCACATGGAATAATAAATGATGAAGTTAAATCAATTTTAGTTGTTCATTTCCAAGGGTGTTTTTATTTGTTTAAAATATTTACACAAATTAACCACAATTTTCAGGGGATTTTGGAGTTTCTCGGCTGCTAATGGGATCATGTGAGTTGGCTACAACTTTAACTGGGACTCCCCATTATATGAGTCCTGAGGCCCTGAAGCACCAAGGCTATGATGCCAAGTCTGACATCTGGTGAGTAGGTGGAGGCTGGCCCCAGGGACCTTTTCTCTGCTGTCAAAGGGGGCTCTACACTTTGTTTTGAAGTTCATCTGCTTACTCCAGCCACTCACTTTGTCCCTTTTGGCATTTGAGTTGTTCTGTGGCCAGAGGGAGAGGAGGGCTTGGAGCTTGTTATACTCTGTGAAATTCATTTCAAAGATTCTCTCTATTCATAGATGAGTTGGCTAGTTTGGATTCTGTCATTCCTGAACCACAGGGGAAAGTTCTTAATGTGGTGGAGACATTAAATTTTGATGTGCTTTGGCTAGCCTATTAAATAAAGCATTTGTCATCCTAAAATCCTTGCTTTATTTTATTTTAAGGTTAACTCCCAGCTCTGTGGGGGATATGCTGCTTTTCTGCATTTTTAAAGAATTTCACTAGAGATACTGGATTTATGGGTAGCCTATATTTACCCCTGGGTTTTCAGTGATAGAGACATCTGCGGTGTTTCACTTCCATAGCGCTCTTGAGCCAAGAAGAGCATGATGGGAAAATGCCTTAGTCTGTCCTGCTGTTAGCAGCAGGCCCTGTCCAGGGAGTGTTAGTGTACTTTGAAGGGAGCTTACATAATTTTCAGCAGCCAAGGGTTGAAGGACAATGTAGCTGAGAGCTTGTTAATTAAGTAAATAATTATTGTATGCAAATCAACCTTAAGTAGTTCTAAGCTTTCAAAGATGAGCAATGTGAAAGGCATGCCCACTTCTGTTTTCTAAGACGATGTTGTAGAAAACGACCTTTTGTGTGTTTAGGGAAAAGTGAACCCTACAGAGCAGCTGGCTTAGAGTTCCTGTAAGAGTTAGTTCTCTGTTTACTTTGGTGGCCCCCATGGGAGAGGAACTGTCAAGATTTGCCCTGGCTCCGACCTTCCATGTAAACCCCATCCCTCTGTTTCAGTCTTGTGATTGTTTTGAGGTTTCTCCACGGAAGCTTGCTCTTGCTAGAATCTTTTGCCCTAGAGGTCCACTTCCACTCATCCATCACCCCACACCAGAGTAAAATCCTTGCTCATGTGCACCCCACACCAGAGTAAAAAGAAAACTTGAACCAAAAGCAGAAAACAAAACCTACAAAGAAATTGCACGAGGAGAACTTCCTTTACATCATTTGATTGAGCATGTACTTCTTCCTCAGTGCTGTGAAGTAACCTGGGTATAAAAGCAGACTCACTTGGCTCTTATTCCTTGTGAAAAGGCCTGCTCATTTGTGAGTCCTTATCCAGCTCAAAGGTAGCAATCCTGGGCTTTGCAATGACTGCTAGTTACTTACCTACCTCTCTCTTCACACTTAATTTTTAAAATATTATGAATTTTAAAATAAATTCAAATAATGTGTGATGGAGAAATGGGAGAGAGGAACTGGGAGGGAAGGTTGTAGCTGGTGTATAAAATAAATAGATGAATAAAAATTAGGTTCAAATATATAATGTCTCCATGACTTATTATTATGTCATCTTAAGATGTTGCAGCATGACATTTTATTAAGGGAAGATAACTTCGGAAAGCCATTGTTTAAATTTCAGAGGTGATGTGTGGCAATCTACTTGTTCCTTTAGACAGGGCATGCACAGCTATTTGCCAGATCAGAAGGATAGGACCCAAGGGAAACAAAGCAACTTCTTCGCTTCATCTGTGCCCATTCCACTTGTTTACGAATTGTCCTGTACTACACGGGAAATTATAAGAATATCAAGCAGTATCCCTCTGGTGTCTTGTGACTACAAAAATACCTGACACATACAAAATCTATTCCGGCTTTGGATCAGCTCCCCTACCGTGATTATAAACTACTCAGCAAGTATGAGCTGAGAATGTATCATCATCTTGACCCAAGTAACCACTTTATTATGAATTTAGTAATTACTTTGCTTGTATCTAAATCAAAACAGGCTTATCTAGTAGCTGCCAACCCTAAAGTGGAACAAATATCGGAGAACTATTAATTACAGCGGCAGATAGAGAAGTGTGACAAGTGATCTTAGGGAGACACTTGGGAAAATTAGATTGCATGAGCTAAGAACCCATCTCAGCCTCTGAATGGGTAGCATCTATGTACTGTGGAATATTTTCTTGGGACTGGGAGTACATATGAATAATTTATAGATACTTTGCTTTGGCACTAGTAGTGGGACATCTATATTTACAGCACTTCAAAAGAATTAGTCTAATACTAATTACATTTTCATCTGTTAACACTTCCCCATATGTAATCTTCCCTTCCTTCTAACATCTGTAAGACCTGCCTGTGTTTGATTATTTATAGCATTCAAGTATAGAAAGTTGGTCTCAAAAGATACCTTGGTTACAAAAGTTGAAAAAGTTATTTGGAAAGTTATAATAAAGGTCATCAAGGACAGTGCTTTGAACACAGCTAATATGTGTAAGTGTTTGCTAAAAAAAACAAAAACAAAAACAAAACATTTTTTTTTTAATTTTTCTTTACCCATAGGAGAAATGTAAGTATGACTTTTGTTCCTTGAATGATTCTTTGTAGACAGAAGTTTCTGACCCATCTAGTCCCATAGACGTTCATCTCTCCCCCTCCCCCCGGCCCGCCAACACACACACACACACACACACACACACACACACACACACACACACACACACAGGCTTACAAACAGTTTGGCTGATGACTCAGATTTCTTCTTGGCTAGCTCTCTCTTAATTATTAACATTTCTATTAACCTATCTATTTCCACTTGGTCTTTGCTTACTGGTGGTGCCTGGGCCTCTCTTTTCCTCAGCAGCTATATGGCATCTCACTCCTGATTCCTCCTCTGCCTTTCTTCTTCCCAGAATTCTCCTCATCTGGTAGCCCCGTCTATATTTCCTGCCTAGCTACTGGCCAATCAGCATTTATACATCAACTAATAAGAAAAACATATATTCCCAGCATACAGAAGGACATCTCCATCAGTTCTTCAAATTGATTCAGCTATGAATAGTTAGTACCCATTTTCAGAGAGAAAAGGACAGTATTTTAGGGTTTGTGGTTCTGTAATTAAGCTGAAATGAAGCAATATCTTTCTGTCAATTTTATTTCCCTTATGTGAGAATCAGCTAGGCTGCTTTCTGATATGAGTTCCTGTGTTTGTAGGGTGTTTTACATGGAAGAATGGTGGTGAGAATCACAATGGTGGAGACCAGTTCATGCTTAACTATGGACTCAGGCTTTCATGATCTCAGAAGGCAAGCTCAGCTATAGGTGGGCTAAAACATAGAGGGACCAGCACTTGTCTGTTCTGCCTGGCCCAAGGCCATGTGCTCGATGGAGAACAGTAATCACACTAGTGCCCATTCCTCTAGAAGGCACCTCCAACCCAGGAATCTTCTTTCCAACCAACATGGGAACTGCTTGGGTTAAGGGCAAGTGAAATGGACCTTTTGTACCAGAGTTTTCTTCAGCAACAGCTCAGAAGGCTAGGGGATGTCAGCTGTTGCCACGGGAGCTGCTGCCAATTTAGCTTATGTGTCTGTTTGTATTTTTTTTTCACCAGAAAACAAATGGATTCCCTGAAGTCTGCTTTCTCCCCCTAGAGGGGGCTCCAGGTTAAAGTAGTCTCTACTGCAAGGCTCTCTCCACTTTCAGAGTCCAGGCTGTGCCCAAGAAAAAGGTGTCATGGAATGCTAGAGAGTGAATGGTCAAGGGCTGTGCTGAACTCACATTGTGTAAAAGCTTTTACTCAGGCCTTAGAGCTGCTATGCTACATTGGCTGAAGCAAGTTAAGTGCCAACTCCAGTACCTTCACCCACATGTGACATGACAACTCCAATAACAACAGTGAAGGCAAAAGGACTATGTGAAAAGAACAGTCACCCCCGGAAAGGCTCCATCTTGTAAGGTTGCCAGACTGGGCTATAGGAAAGATACTGGTAGGGGAAGGTTGGAACAGACTAAAGAGAGAGGTAGATTTTCTCTAACCTGATACATCCTACTCTTTCGATGTTCATTACATCTTTAAAGAGCTCCAGGAGGCTGCATAAAGTGAATAAGGCAGCTGGAACCATAAGCAGCGGGAGCTGTTGCCAAATTCATCCTTAATGGGACAGTGGAATGGATACTGGTTTGGAATGAAAGGATGCCTTCTTATTATTTCTTCTCCACAGCAGGCAGAGAGAGCACTGTCCATGGTTCTTTCCTAGACTAAGGTTTATATAGAATACTTAGGGCTGGACTCAAGAATATCTGAAGATAAAAAATATTTTCTTTGTCTTCCAGCCAGTTTTTTCTCATGCTGCTTATCTTTCTTGCTTCTCTCTCCCATGGCTAATTGCCTTGATCTTCCATTGGTTAATTCCTATAGAGGACATGGTGATATCTTTGGGGGGGGGGTCCAGAAGTGCCAGATCATCTTCAAACACTAGAACTTGAGGGAACAGGATGGTCGAGTTAGGGAATAACAGAGAGAGAGGGAGAGGGAGAGAGAGAGAGAGAGAATTGTCTTGATAGAGGAAGCCATTATGGGATTAATGAGAAATTTGGCACTAGGGAAATTCCTAGGAATACACAAGGATGACTCCCAAAGTGTATGTACAAGTTTGCACTCTCACCAAATAATGGAGGAGTATTCCCCTGGCTCCATATCCTCTCCAGCATAAGATATCATTTGTATTATTGATCTTGGCCCCTCTGACAGGTATAAGATGGAATTTCAGAGTCATTTTAGTTTGTATTGTTCTGATGGCTAAGGATGTTGATCATTTTTCCGAGTGTTTTTAATGCCATTTGAGATTCTTCTGTTGAGAATTCTCTGGTTAGGCTGGTACACCATTTGTTACGTGTAGGTTTCTTCTGCCAGCCAGTCTAGTCCCACTGGCACACCAGTCCCAAATAATACACAGAGACACTGTATTAATATATAATTCTGTTGGCCAATTACTAGTTTGTTATCGGCTAGCTCTGTCTTAATTATTAACCCATTTCTATTAATCTATGTACTTCCACATGGTCTTATCTTACCGGAGAGAGGG